ATATTTTCATAATTATATGATTATTTTTCAGCAAACTGCATGTGTTCATATAGTAATTATTTTCTTAGTAAAAATAAATTTGTATAAAATTTTAAAGTATTATTTAAATTTTATACACATTTATTTTTGCTAAGATCTTTAAAGAATATATGTAATTATTTTAGAAAAAATATATAATTATTTTTTCTCTAAATTTTAAATAACTCTCCTTTTATCTAAATTATAGAAAAAGGAGCATTACTTAAAAATTACATGTGTAACAAATAAATTAAAATCCAAATTAAAACTGAGTAAAAAAATAACTAATAATCATTACTTTAAAAAATAAAAGTCTTATGAAAATAGTATTCTCTAATTCCTTTCTTTCCTTTATTAAAATATTGTTTTCTTAAGTGATTTTTATGCGATAAAAATTTCTTAAATAAAGCTTTCGTCTTGATTTAGTGTGAAGAATCATCCCTTAAAATCTTTTAGAGTATTTATAACTATACCACCCTGTATATAGAAAAAAATTGTGAAAAAGTTTGAATAAACATGCGAGTGAAAAGTCTAAATAAAAAAGATAATATTTTTATCACGATATGCGGCTGACATGCATGAATCGGCAGATGAATCCCACGAGAAATGAAATAAGACGCACGCGTCCGAAAAAGAACCGGACTGGTTTACTGCATTATGATAATGACGTTGCATTCACGCGGGCAAATATTCTCTGGTGAAAAGACGTGACTGGTCGATCGGGCTGGTCGGTTGCATCATCGCCGAGTGATCGTTAAACGCATCATCGACCGCGTGACAAACGGTCAGCGGTTCGTCAGTCGTGTGCGCAACCGCGTATAATTAATGCAAGCGATCCATTCGTCAATCGGACGCGATATCCATCTACGCGTTGCTAATGAATTCCACGATCATCGTCTAGTCGCTTCAACGCGTGTTCCAACAGCAGATGAATTCTCTCGTTTGAGAGACGGTTGCGTGCATAGTCGGTTGCAGAGTATTTTTCTGCTTCAAAATTTTTCTTTAGATTATATTTTGTTTTAATATTTATTTTTTCGATATTGATTGTAAATATTTATTTTAAGTCTTTTATAAAAATTCATTAATACGAATAAATGAAATATAGTCAGGATGGATCTTGATGCCTGATATTTGCATGAATTTTTACAATTTTCTGTGCCAATTATTTGTCGGTCTTGAAACAATCTTAAGCTGGTATTCATAATCGATTCTTATTTTAAGACAGTCTTAAGTAACGTCTTGAGATGCTAATATAGCCCTCTGATTGGTTTATAACATCTTAAGACTGTACTTAAGACGATTTTGAATATAATATCTATACATATAATGAATACCGGCCTTAGACTGAAGCTGGAATATGTAATATCACAAATTAAATTGACAAGCAATTTAATATTACTGATGTTAATAAACATCTTTAAAGCATCGTAAATAAATAAAAAAATTCATTGTTTAAGAAAAAAATTTATTTTGTTAGCATATTCTAGATGCAGTAAGTAAATCTAAAGGTAGACAACTCGCTGATCAATTCGTCATTCCAACAGGAATATCATTATCGCAGCTTCGGTGAATTTATTAGAAATTGTTACGTCTATCACATGAAAGTCTTTGGTTGAAACGTTAAGCGTGAAAGACGATGCCTCGTCGGCTGTTCAATTTCTTTGCGGCCTGTCTTGTTACGATACAACGCAGTACATACATACTTTATAGCATCGCGATAAATTACCATGAAGTCGGTAATTATTTTTGCGTATGTGAGTAACGAAGACTCTACTTGGTTCGTTGTAACTTGCTGAGTGTTGCGATCAAATTTATGAGCCTATTAAAAATTTCTGGCTAATGTTCTTCGGGGCGTAGAAATTTTTTCAACCACATAATTTCTCAATGAATACGCAATAAAGACGTAATACCAAGTTGATTTTTATTATGTCGTTGATCATCGTTATTCAATCATTTTCATATTGACTACATTAATATATTATATAGTACTACATTAATAATTTAGGTTGTAAATGTCACGTGATAAAGAGAGCAACTAACGACCATATAAAACTAAATACAAATGATTTAATCACTTGTATTCTGTAATATAGAAATATAATATTATGTTAAGTATATTTTTAATTTCCTTAATACCTTATACTGAATTTTGAAATTTTTGTTTAATTGTTTGATTTCTATAATTGTGAAACTGTTTTTGTTTTATTATTTTCTATTTTAAGTCCGCATCTCCAGACCTTTCTAATTTAAGAGAATAATAGACGAGCACTTGGCACTTGAAAAATGCTATTTTCGATTCCTGTTATTTACAGCGACAGAACTCCAATTAAATTCGCAAAAAGCTTCGTCGAATTGATCGTTATTTCCAAGCAATTAATTTTATAGTCGCCGCAAATTAGTACTACACCTAGATTGGATAATAATTAATTGGTATGTCAAACTTTGTACAATGGTAGATGTTTGACTTTATAAAATTTTTAAACTTTTATGTGTACACAGTAAAAAACATTATATATTAATATTGGAAACGGTCCATTCATGTTCTTGTTAACTGATTGTGTTAAATTTCTCAATATATTTAAGTGTTAATTTAACATAACGTGATTATTTTAATATTTTGTGTTAAATTGATATTCAACATTTTAAAACATTAGAAAGTCTTGTAATTTGTAAAAAAAAATGCTTTTTTTATACTATATAATCTCGAAAATCATTTATAGCAGTTCTGTGAATATCATTATTAGTGATCCGTTTGATTTTACGGTAACTTCTAACTACGGCGGTTTTCTCATGAGAGATTTCAATAGTATTAGATCGCGTTGTATCATTATGAAGCCGAGTCATAGTACCGAGGATGCGAGTACGGTCCGTGGAGGTGTATTCATTCGCAAAAACGAGCGTGCTTATCGCGACAATGAGAGGAGAGAGCAATTTTATGAGTTCGGTGCCGTGGTTATTCGCGCGTACGAAAATAGTCGATGGCCATGGTGCGATAATGGAATTTAATAATGCGATATGCGTTCTCTCTCTCTCTCTCTAATATCTCGGTACTCTCTCCTCTTTCCTTTTCACCCTCATCGTCTTTCAGTTTCTCTTCCTCGCAAACGATGTGGCGCAGCACCGTTGAGCAAGTGCATGAGCATGTCGGGCCAAGCGCGTTCAGTGGCTCGGTTCGCCGGTTAATTAGCCATTAAATATCAAGCAGCCGGTACGAGACTGCACGCAGATGGTATTTCGGATCAGTTAGAGCAGTTAGCAATGGGTAATTACGGATAATAAACAGACTGCGCGACTGCGGCAGAGTACGGCGCGCGTGGCGTGTTGTATGAATGGTCCGGAAAGCCGAGTTGCGTTTGTACTATGCAGAGATGCATAAAAATTGAAATATCATAAAATATAATGGATTTCCGATGTCTGGAAAATTAATATGTTCTCTTTGGATTTTTGATACGAGAGTTAAGATCATCGTAAATTGATACGAAAATTTAAAAAACTAAAATCCTAACATTAAAAAATTTAAAATTAAACGTATAAAATAAAAAAAGAATAGGCTCTTCAGGAGAGAAGTATTTATTTCGCATTGACAACCCAATTTTAGATTGACCGTGTTTTGAATCTGATATATCCGTATATGTCATATTTCTTTGTACAAAACGAATATTGAGCGCGTCACAAAAATACTGCGCTTCATGAACATGGAAATTCGGCAACGAGAATACATTCGTGATAATCATTTTGCATTCGTTTCAAGGTAGATTAATTAATCGGCACGCCCAAAATATCGAACCAACTGGATAAACCATTAGCATTAATATTTCATTATTCTCTCATCCTACTCTGGTGTTATCTGACTATCCAGATTGAATCCAGTTAAATAAAATCGTCCTACTATTTCAAGCTTTCTCGAATTTGCTCTATTCGATGAATGTGTTCGATGTCGAATGTTACTGATCGCGATTTGAGAGTGTGATCGATTGCGCCGCGCTGGGTTGCTTTTATCGTAACAAGTCTAGCATTCAAGTGAAATAGCAACTATTACAATTTTGTAGTAATCGTATATCTCTCATTTACAATTAATTAGAACATTTGATAACGAGAAACTAAATTATGTATTTAGAATAAGTGATTAATATGTAATAATATTACGATTATTATATTATGTATATCTAATAAATAATAGAACAATTAGAATAATTAGATGGAGAATCAAATATCACAATCTTCATTTTAGAATTTTAAAATGCAAATCTTCTCTCTAATTAACTTTAATTTATTTTACTGAGTGACATACCTCCATATAAACATTGCATTATTTTTCTTGCAATCGTGTTCGTTCATTGTTATTTTACGCTTTACACGCTAATGAGCAGAATTGCTTTTAACATAATTTACATATTACCATTCACTTGAGACCATATATTTACGGATAAGTCGTTGATATACGTGTATATAAAACGTATATAAAACACGCATACACATATTAGACGGTCTTGTTACCTTTGATAGGTTGCCTGAGGTCCACCCGGTGTCATGGCGGTAGTTGTGTTTTGTGTTGCGAGTGCGAGTTTCTGCTGTCGATGTTGGAGCATCTGCCGGCTGAAGACCCCGTATCCGAAGCCATAGATTTCGTCCTCCTCCTTGTCGCTGAGGCAGCTCGAGGGCTGCACAAAAATGGAGATCGTTCGTTCTTTTCCTCTATCTATAGAGGCGGTGGGGTTTTGCTTGCGAAGCAGTACTGGCTACTACTTATGTTGTAAACGGAAGAAGATAGGGACGGTATTAAGAATTCGTTATACAAAAGTAGTGTTGTGCTGCAGAATTTTATGAGGAAAAAGATGACATAATCGGACGTGAAAATCAGTCTAATCGATGTTGAAAAAGAAACGACAAATCTAAAGATCTAATTATGTAGAATGGCTTCCATTTAATTATAAATCTATAAATCTCCAATTTCAAATTGTAAAAAGTAATTATTATTGTCGATTACAAGATTGTGAAGTTCCAAGCAAATAATTATATTATATTAGAATTTTTAATTTAAGGCCTACTAAAATACTTGTGATGTAATAAATTCAAATTAAAAAGATAACTTAATTAAATTTTTGATAAAGTAGAGTTGACATAAAATTTTGTATTATAATTACACTAAAATTTTGTATTATAATTACGCTAAAAATATTTATAAAGAGAAGTGTATAACATAATTATATAATATTTACAAATCTATTCATTGTGTCATGTATCCATTTTTGCAAAGTTAACTTTTTCTATTTTAAATATTCATGAGATCGTTGTTGTATCTAATTTAAAAAACATTAAAAAATTGTAATGACCAATCGTTTTCGTGCTTAATCAAAACGTGATATTCTGAAAAGAATGACTTTTATATTAATTTTCCCAATCGACACATCATCGATCTTCGAAGCAATCTGACCTTAATAGTCAATCGATTGCTTGCGTTTGAAAACTCGATTAGCCGCGGGGAGAAAGACTGAGTAACGAACAATAACCGATTTAAGCTGGGATCGATAGGGTCTACATGGTTAATCGCCTTAAAGCACTTTGGAAAGTTACTCATGGAAGAGCCACGAGCCCACAAACGCAAAGTGTTTGAACTTCCTTCCGTGAAGGATTTCCCGTCAAGTCTCTCTTTTGCTAAACATATCGTTGAAACATATATAAAAGATAGAGATACAAATCAGCATATTAAAAAAATATTAACTAAATCAACACAATTATATTTCGTATAACAATTTCTCATTATAAGGCTTAGGCACTACTATTTGTTACCAATTACCACAAAATTATTTATTATCTTAGATACATATTTATGTACATATATCGTTACAAAGATTGTTGAAATATAATTTTAGTCTTATGAATACGTTCATATTTCATCGATTGCTTGATAAATACGCGATTGCCTGCGTCTGACAATTTTCTTCGTGATAAAATTGTTCCCGCCCATCAGAAAAAAGAGACAAATGCTCGTATCGAATCAATAGAACGTGTTCTTCTTGCGAGTTCTGTCCCTTCAAAAGCAATTTGGCCAAGTGTCAGGGGAGTAGAGTAATAAGAAGAAATCGCGGCGATAGACAAGCTACTATATGTCACCCTATAACCGCATTATGCTAGCCGCGGAAGCAATAAAAGAAGAGAACGTCGCGGGAAGGGGCAAATAAAAGCGAATATGAGGGATTTGCTCACCGAGTATTTTCCGGGCACGTAAATGGGCTGTGAATGACTGGTGGTGAGCTGGGTGTTGGGCATTCGTGCGGAAGCGTTTGTTTCTCGCCGGCGTAGTTCCTCGAGCGGCTCAAGAACATCCCCGTAATGCGTCCTGAAGAGATCTGCATATCTTGAGGCAAGCCCTTCCAAATACCCTCTCTCGCCCTCCTGTAACACACAATGTCAAAATAATTAGAAGTTATCGAAAAAATTCTACAAATGAAAATGTTTGTGTATATAAGCATATTCATTATTTTCACATGTAACGTAAAATAATATGATTTCATTAAGATATATAATATGATTTCGTATTAGCTAAATCTGTAAAAGATTTCCATAACGATAGTTGTCAAAAATTCATTGTTGACCTCAAATTTTTTAAGAGCTTGCTATAATCAGCAATAGCTGAATAATAAACACACTTTATTGTTATATTGCAATGTCAAAAACTGTTTGCATGTGCTCAAGTAGATTTGTGTAAAATGCGTTATAATTTTCTCATTAGTTGATAAATTAATAAACGATTGTAAATTTTTAAATGCAATCGTCATAAGATCAATTCATATTGGAAATGTGGAACGCATTTAGATTAATTATTGAGCTATTTATTAATGAAGCCTGACAAAAGCACAGAATTATCTCATATATTGCAAATAATAATAAATGACAGAATGTGTTATCTGAATAAATGAGGTAACTTTTCGAAATAATCAGATATACATTGTTACAATCGTAACATGGCGATAGATTTTGTTTTTACTACATAAATATTAATTTTTTTTTAGCATACATGCAATATATTAAATATTAAATCTGTTTTCTCTTGGCAGATAATTCGCATATTTCATATATGCACAATTTAAAGTAAAAAAAACATTTGAAAAATACCATAAGTAAAAATATAAAGTGTTAGAGACAAGCGTTGTATTTCTGTACGATAGTTTTTAATATTGACGATGTTACATTAAAGATCAACTTCTAATCAAGTAAACTGATATTCTCGAAAAAACATCTTCGCGTATAAAAAATGTGTGTATACACATTCGCCCTGTTTTCCTGAATTGGACCAGGTCGGTACAGTAGTATATGATTCCAGGAAAGAAGTAGACAACAGGAAGTAGATAGAAGAAAGTCGAGGATAGAGATCGACGTACGAAGGTTGGTGTCACATTAATATTTCAGGATTCCACTTCCGCCGACTCTTGATTCGACTCTCGGCTCGTTGTAACCATGGAAGGGCTGTGTCCCTTTTATGGCCGCGAGGAGGAAGTGGAGGCGGAATAGAGAGGAGCGAGGAGTTGGTGGGCGTAGGGAGGATCGTGAAACGGGAACGCTTTGTCTGGCGCGAATCGCCTCCTATTTACACTTTAAGCGGCCTCCATCCATCCTCCACATCCGCCGCTGCCGCCACCACCGCTGTCGTCTCTCCGCTAGGTGCCAGCAAACGATATTCCACGGCTACCATCGCGGTCGTCTCTCCCGGATTTAAATCCCATTTGTAAATATTCCCTTCGCGGCTGTGAGTGAATTACGTGGGAATTATGCCCGACGCGAAGAAGCGGTTCATCTTCCGCGCGCGCCCGTTCCAATTTCGCAAAAGGCGCCGACAGGTTTCACGCAGACTTTGCGACAAAGTGCGCTACACGTTTAATTTCTCGATGGTGAGATGGCAAAATAAAGAAGATATCTCTCTTGCTATGTATAAGAATGTAAGATGTACACGATATAAAAAATACTCTTTATTGATAATACTGAGCAAGCGAGTGACAAAACAGCTATGGAGATCGTTTTTTACGATTGTGCACAATTGTTGTCTTAATAAAATCGGTTCGTCGAGTTATTAATCAACAGGACACTTTAGCGATTTTATTTCACATAATTCGTCATAATAATTTACGTTTTTTAGAACGCGACTCACGGTGAAATAGAATACAATGTAAAGATAGAAAACGCGAACGAAAAACGCATGCGCATGACTAATCCTCTGGGATATGTGACATACGACATACATTTCAACAATTCGATAGCCGTCGCAAAATTATATCGCAAATGTTGCCAGATATGCGGCTTCATTCCGCTAAAAGAATTCACGACGCGCTCGACATTACATTGTGTAGTATTAGTAGAGTAAATTGCATGAAAAAATATACAGAATATTCCGTATTAAAATTATACGTATTATACGTATATAAGTAACTAAAATAAAATCTAACCTGTATTCAAATAAAGGCAAATAAAAGTCCGAATATAATAGGCGTATTATATCTTTTTTTTTATGACAATCGACAATTTAATTGAATCACTAAAAAGCTCACTTTACACTTTACATCTATAATTTGTGGCAGATTTCAAAATAGAATTGTGTTCGTAATTTTATATATTCTATTTTTAATAAAAATGGATTACGAAAATGAGAATACATCGAATATGTAAATGAATATACTCGTATAGTAGCAGCTACAATTGCAGCAAAGATTCGGAGGCGACGCAGAGCCGTTGCAATTACTAAGATATAATTATTAAAAAAAAAAAGTACCGAATAACACCCATTCTCTAAAAATCGTAGCCAATATAGCTCTTCCTTTGCTTCACTCCCAAAATTAATCTTGGAAGATACACGATTCCATGAATATAACATGATATGTCATGATATGTCATGTCTTGATATGACATGTCATGTATTTCAGCGATGTTCGCTATTAGTGGAATAATATCAAACTTCGAGCATAACTTCGTTATATACGAAAATTAATGGAGTGAAAGTAAAACGCCAGCTTTTATTAGCTGTATGAAATGAAACCTAAACACGATATTATAAAAAAAACTTGCTATGGAAGTTATTTTTAGTAATATAACTCTTTTTATGTACACGTAGCTAGTTTCTAACAATAAGTTCTTATAATACATCGGATTTCACTTCTTGTAATAATAAGAGAGAGAGAGAGAGAGAGAGAGAGAGAGAGAGATTCTGATTGTAGAATTATATTCAAAAAGGCATATCTGTTTTCATTCTCTATGCTGTATGTAAAGATTTTTGAAAAAATCCCTATTGCATTTTTACAGGAAATATCTACACTGAAAAAAAAGATTGGCTGCTGTAGCAAATTAGATGGTAAAATATGGCATAGCATTTTTAATTGGCTGCAGCAACTAATCTTTGGTTGCAGCAGCTAATTTTTGTTGCGCTAGCCTATCCGTCAGTATAAGATTTCGATAATCTAATACAATCAAAAATTGATTGCTGCAATCAATTAAAAATGCTGTGCCATATTCATTCAATCTTTTCTTTCAGTTTATGAAATCCATCATATATATCGATTATATGTATATATAAAAAGAGTTCAATTATGTATAACTATATATCTGACACCCTAATACTTCCTTTAATGTTATCACAAATTATAAATCGACTTAAAATCTATTTTACATTCAAATCTGTAAACGCGTGTGATACGTAATACGTCGGATCGTAGTGCGCCAGATATTCAATGAATCGATAGGAATAGAGTCATCAATTGCAAAACGTCAAACGTCAAGATTTTCATTACGATATAATCTATTCCGAAGGTTCTACCTCGGGGAGAGTTAGAGAAGACATTAAGGTGAGTGTCGAAGACGCGCGAAGGATGAAACGAACGGAACGAGTCATCGTTCCGCTAACCGCCCCTCTCCTTTTCTCATCCCTTTACGTACCCGTTTCTCTCGCCCCCTTTTATCGATAATCCGCGAGTATTAATTAGAATTCCAATCTTCCGATTTAATACGATGTTCCACCTCCCCCCCTTCCCCCCGTTCCAACACTTTCCTCCGCCGTTCCAGGCCTCTTCCTTCCACTTCCTCTTTCTCCTTTTCCGGGCTTCTGCCCGTCATTTCCCTCCGAGGGGCTTAACGGTCAAACTGAAACTTTCAAATTGAGAGCGCATAAAGCGAACGAATTTTGCACGCGCGGGCACGACTCTTTGGAACTTTATCGCATCGTAAATTAAAATTTCATCCATGAACGGATAATTGAGGAGTGATTAAAGCGTTCATTTTGCCAAGCTGCTTGGCGAAATGTCTGTAGAAATGTTCTTGTGGTTGGCTCCTATCCCGATTCGTTTTGATATCTCATCAAAACGAATCTTTGCAATCACTATGTTTGTGCTTCGATAATATGATTTCAAGCAGCTTACGTTTTTTTCTTATTATGATAAATCTTTTTTAGCACAAGTTATTAACAAATAATACGTATTTATCCATATTTTTTATAATTAAAAAAGAAAAAAATGAATAAATTTCGAGGAGCAGATTGAATTCCCAAACCTTCGCCTAGAAATGCTCATGATATAACGAGAACGCAATTCCTTTTGATTATTCTATGATTCTTCGCCATGTCCTAATTCTTCAATTTTTTGGAAAAAAATGTATGTCCGGCGCCATGCCATATAATTGGATAACAGCGAATTACCGCGGAAAACATAATTGCACCGGTGGTCCACGCCATCTTTAACGAGCGCCGGGTTTCAGCGATTAACCGGATTTTACAAGGGACAACAAGATTTCTTCTGAAACGGCAAAAAATGGCGCACAGGTTCTTCCGCGCAAGCTAAGTACCTGTGCCATGGTAAAAGTGTAAATTCTCCGTGCTACCATTCTATCGTGTTACCGTTCTGGCAGAATCATTTCATTCTAACGAGACAGTGGTATACAACATTAGCTACCCGGTTCGAGTCGACGCTTTGGACGGACATCCGACGAACAACCCAGCAACGACCGCCCCCTCAGTAGCTCGATAACAAGGCGCGCACTGTAATTATGTTTCGTCTCCTCCCCATCATAGATTTTCCGTGAGACTACACGACACACATTGCTATTTGAGGAACACCGTTCCTTTAACCGAGAAAATTTTACGGATAATAGAGACACTTTTTCAGCATGACAAACGACGCCGTTGCGTTATTATGACACATACACACACATTTATATATATATATATATACGCCTTATCGTTTATCAAGTTTTTGTTAAAATAGATCTTCATTAACCGTCGCATAAAGCGGAATGAAAAAAATCGCGTAGAGAAAAAGACAAAAAGTAAATAAATGAATGAATGCTAATGCGTCCCGGATGAGCATTTACGCAATGCATTCCGTAATTCAGTGTGACTGCTATCGCATATTTCCGTGCTA